TTTGCCACATAGCCATTATAATAGTCTCGGAAGGAAGCTGCTATGTAGATATTATAATGGTCTAGAATTGAGGTCACTATTCAGGGTGAGTCAAAAGTATGTTTACAAACTTTGTGTGCGTGTTCCTGGATCAAACATAAGAAAAAATGTGGTCGCAAATGCTTCCTTTTTAAAATACGTAATAGCCAAAAGAAGTTTTAATGTATGCATTTATTGCCAAGTATAAGGGCAGGGAAGTTCAGGATACTCAAAGGTTGCTCCTCCATTCTCCACACAAGTCCGAGCACGACGTGCACAAGACTGACGGATTCGTTCGTACACACCAGGTTTTCCTCGAATCATCTGGCATGCATTCTGCACACGTTCGCAGAGGTCGTCTTCATTGTTTATGGGTGTTGCATAAACGACGGACTTCAAGTGACCCCACAAATCCAATGGAGTCAGGTCCGATGACCTCGGTGGCCATGCTACTGGTCCACCGCATGAAATCCATCGCTGAAGGTACTGTTCTTTGTGATGATCTCGGACGCGACTGGAGAAGTGTGCTGGGGCTCCGTCGTGCATAAACCACATCTGTCTTCTTGTATTCAGTGTTGCATCCTCAACTAGAAGTGAAGGAAGCGTGTGTGGACCAACAAGCTTGTCGCCAACAATTCCTGCCCAAACGTTAACTGAAAAATTTCTAATTTTTCAAAATTTTCGAAAAACCAAAATACCATGCAAATTGCCTGAGAAGCGCACAAATCCAAAAATTTTCAATTTTTTTATTTTTGTGCGCTTTTTGGACGATTTCCTGCATTTTTTGACTTTTCGATAATTTTGATAAAATTTCAAATTTTTTAAAAGAATAGAAATGGCTATAAATGTCGTGAAAAGCGAAAATAACTAAAAAAAATCGAAAAAAGTTTGAAGTTGGAATTTTACATGGACCGCTTTTGACAAACGGTGAGGCACAGGAGTCAAGCTTGATGCAAGCAGCGAGGCAGGAATTAACCGGCAGACAGGGTGAGGCATTCACCGAGTCTGGCAGACATCTCTGGAGGAGTTTTGAAAAAAATGTTCAAAATTTTGAAAATTTTCGAAAAATCAAAAAATGCTGGAAATTGTCTAAAAAGCGCACAAAACCAAATTTTTTCGAAATATTTTATAATTCGTTTTAAGTTGAAATTGTTCTAATTTTTTAGTTTTGTGCGCTTTTTGTACAATTTCCAGCATCTTTTGTTTTTTTCGAAAAATTTAAAAAAAAATGATTTTTTTCTTCAAAAATCTGCCCTACCCGAACCCTGCCAGAACCGGTCTCAGACGTGTCGTTTCTGCAAATACCGAGTCCGGGAGAGACCGGGTGAAGCAGAGACTGAGTCCGGCAGAGAGCTAGATCTAAAAGACGATATCCAGACAATCGATAGTATTTTGTGAATCTGGCCAGTTTAAATCTTAATGCAGGTTTCTGTTGAACAAAGGAAACAAATTAAAAGGGGCAAGGAAGTGAGAGACACTACTTCTGCGGGGAAAAAGAGTCATTTTGTCTAAAAGTTCCCGCTCAAGAAAAAGAGGTTCCCAGGCAATGCCCGCTCGTCATTCTGGTAAGGATAAATTACGAGTTAAGACGTTAGGGTGATAATTAGTGAGAACTTGTTAAAAGAGACGGTGGAAATAAATACGAGTAACATCTAAATATTCAGTCCGTACCGCAAAGAAAACAGCACTTTACTATTGCAAAAATCATCCACTTAAGCTGTTTTGAGAAATAATGGCTGTTTAGCACATAAATTTATTCTGTGCCCAAAATACACAGTTACAGGCTGTTAAATCGGTTTTACTTGCAGATGCCACTGAATGTTATACTACAACCACAACTAGCACGAATAACAGAAATAATAATAGATTTTCTTGTCTGTTTCATCAGCATGGTGATCTTCATTGTCGACTAAGTAAAATAAAAATAGTCGGATATTTGAATCCTTTACATATTAAATAATTATTAAGTCTGGGTTTCACATGCGAATCCATTTGTTATAAGTACATAAGGATTTTACACTGGTTATCTCTTGACCTCGTAATTGAACCTATCTTACAAGACGTACACATGTTGGTTGGTATGCAGAGTTTCGTTGTCGAATTATATATTTTGTGGATGCATCGCAGGGAATTAACGTTCCTAATTTTCTGAAGAACCGTTTTTCGAGTGGGTCTGTGTCTTACATAGGGATCATTAATGTTTCAGCTGGGCTCAACCACTTCCAACAGCTGACGTGAAACAGAATGGTGATTGTGGGCCACTTACATTGTGGTTTATGATACCAGGCGACCATCCCACTGACTTAGCATTTTCTCACAATACAACACAGGAAACAAAAGATGCAAGAAACTCTTTCCATTATTTTAATGATTTTATTTTGAATGTAAGATACTTTTTTGCTGTATGCTGAGTTTCCTCAGAAAACAATTCCATGTGAATTTGACACATTCAAATGGAAGTCAGCAAACTGGACTAATTTCAAAGTTTCTCACGGCAAAACATACTGAACTGAGTTTCGGGATAACATATTAAATAATTGTTTTTTATCCCAGTCTAAGTTACAAATTTGTAAACTATGGAATTTAGTTGTTAATGTTTCAATTCTTTTATCATCACATGTTGTTTTTTGGTGCTTGGCTCTACAACCGGGTCCATCATAACCTATATTAAAATCGAATTTAATGAAGTTTGTCTTGTAAAACTTCAAGGTGAATTTATTGGCTTTAAAAGAGTTGTTCACATTAGCAGATATCATAAATAGAATTGATAAGTGATTGATTACAGAGTAAACATAACGGAACACTTATATCGTCTGTGTAACATGCCATAGTCATGACCACAGATACTACATTCCCCATTATCCACGGGAAAGATTATAACCTCAACAGCCAATCTCTTCTTCCTCTTGGTGTATAATCAAATCATAATAACCATTAAAAGGGTATTTTGTGACCAGAAAATCCTGATGATAGCAGCAGAAAGTTCCTCTGAAATGTCATTAAACTCCTACCAGACTTTGGGGCATGGCAACCCAGACGACAACCAACTTAAATCTGATCTTAGATTTCTCCAACAAGAGTTGTTAATTTCCAGTGTTCATATGATCAGCCCAGTGTCATTTAAGAAATAAAAAGGTAAGTACTGTTAGTAATATACATGCAATAATGGAAAGTAATCACTCTTATTTCCAAAACAACTCCAGAAATACGCTGTTATAATCTTTGACATTAAATAATTCTGCATGAGATACGTCGCAAAATAACTCACTAAGACAGCATCACTTTCGTTTGGAATGATTCGTAGATCTTTGAGGTTAGCCGTGTCAAACACAACTTATATGAGATTCTCATTTAGGTTATCTTGGAAATTTGCAGCGCAGACAGGGTTTTGAATGTGGGGAGCTGATCAGAGAAACAGTAAACGCGTGATTTCTGAACCATCTTGTGTATTTAAATTCTCCAATCTGAATTACAGGAAACAGCACTTGAAGACAATAGATTCTGGAAGCTGACCAGCTCTTTAATGTTCTAAGTTATGAGATGAGTGAAAGAACTTGGAAAATCCGAGAGAAGGAAAGAGATTTTCCAGTATCAGAACGTGGCTCTTCAAAGACAGACACAAATTTTGCATAAGCTTCTTTGGCGTTCGCTAGCAGTTACGTAGTTACAATTAACTGGCGCCGAATTCACGGAAGCAAACACAACAATCCCGATATCAATTAAAGGTCAAATTACACGTGCAATTATGCCATAATGGCCGCCGGGAGTGGGAGAGGTGGCAGATGAAAGAAGTCACGAAAGTAGTCTTTGGGATCCAAATAATAAACCAAATATTATGATCGGAAACAAAAACGGAACTTGCCTCTTAACTGACATAGCAATTCCGACTGACAGGAATGTGATTAAGAAGGAAGCGGAGAAGATCTTGAAATACAAGGATTTTCTCATTGAAATACAGCGAATGTGGAAGGTTCAAGCAAAAGTAATCCCAGTAATTATAGTGTCAACTGGAACTGTCTCCAAGTCACTTAGAAAATATTTGGCCAACATTCTGGTCAAACACAAGATCAAGGAACTGCAGAAAACATAGTACATAACTTAAAAATTAATACCAAATGGACATAAGACAGTAACGAATTACATACGTCATGAAATGATGTACTCACATTTCATCAGAAGCTTCTCTTCACTTCACTACACTTCTGAAGCCTTCCCACCCTCACCCCAATTTACCTCCATTCACTGCAACCACCCACCTCATTTTTCACTTTCCTAACCTTCTTTCTAAAAGTAATTTGTTTACATGAGAGAGTCCCTAAAACCTCAGCGGGTAGCTGGTTCCAGAGTTGGATGGTCCTATTTACAAAGGAATATTTTCCGATATCTGTTCTTTCCTTTCTGCTCCTAATTTTCCGAATATGATCGACCCTGCTCAGGTAGTATGGCCTTTGCAATCTGTCACCTATAGCCTTCCACGCCCGTTCTCCCGTGTACGCCTTGAAGAGAGCACATATACGTGCTATCTTTCTGCGCTGTGCCAGGGTTTCCCAGTTCGAGTCGCTCCTATGATATGCAAATTTACATGCTTTCTTTTGCACCTGTTCTAATTAATTTATCTGCGTCGTCCAGTAATTTGAGCGTCTCCGAGATCAAGGATCTGCAGGCCTTGAATTCCGTCACGTACGGGTGTTTTGAAACCTGTTGAACAGTTCAATGTGGACCTTATGAACTTTTAGGAAGGGATGCCATGGTCAATTGCAGAGGAGACAAGAAATACACACATAATTTGGTTGAGAACTCACCGAAATAGACTGTGGTATATTCAGGAAAATATGTTTTTTGGATTATATAAC